CGGTATCTGCAATGAACACAGAGAGAAGAGAAGGAACTTTTAACACCACGCCAGAGGGCAGTGCTGTGGTACACAGGTACAACTACTGCCTGCATCACCAGCATCCCATACGGGCACTGCTTCCTATCCCACTTGCTCCACCTCTGACCCAGCTCCCTGCTAAACGGCATGGGAAAGCAATGAACAATGGTCCAAACATCTGGGTCCCTGTACCCACGTGAGAGACCCAGAGGAAGCATCTGGCTCCTGCCTTAAGACCAACCCAGCTCTGGCCACTGCAGCCATTTGGGGAGGGAACCAGTGAATGTAAAATCTCTTGCTCTGTCTCTTCTCTCTCTCTGAAACTCTGCCTTTCAAATAAATAGATAAATCTTAAAAACAAATACGCAAGAAACAGCAATTACTCAAGACCCATGTGCTGCAGGTCACTGTCCTGAAGGCAGTCACTGAGGCACTCGTGAGCATGGGCAGGGAGGCGCTCTCCTGCAAGGCGGGTGTCTTGTGTATCTCACATGAACAGCACTGCTACGCGCATCAATAACTCAATTATACAGTAACGCCTCACAAGATGCTTTACCAAATTTTAATGATTCCCCCAAATACTTTTACAAGACTTTAGAAAAAAACAAAGGTCATTTTGCCAAAACTTTAAAATCAGGAATTTAAGTGCATCTGTTTATAAAGTTAGTGATCATTTTTGCCCACCATTATTTTAATTAGGTCTTACTTTAAAACATACAGCCCGTTGCTCCGTGTCTACAGAAAAATGTGTTAACAAATTACTATAGCACTGCTTGTAAAAGTAGGAATTCTGAAATCTTTTTGTTGAGATGTGATCTCTCACAAATTGTCTGCCTTCATATTAATGTTTGAAAAAGGTTTATTATTTTATTGAAAAGGCAGATCTACAGAAAGGAGGAGAGCCGAGAGGAAGATCTTCCATCTGATGGTTTGTTCCCTAAATGCCTGCAACAGCTGAAGCTGAGCTGATCTAAGGCCAGGTGCCAGGAGTCTCCTCTGGGTCTCCCACACGGGGGCAGGGTCCAAGGCTTTGGGCCGTCCTCGACTGCTTTCCAAGGTTCCAAGTAGGGAGCTGGATGGGAAGTGGGGCGGCGAGGGCAGTAACTGGACTTGCAAGGTGAGGATTTAGCCACTGAGCTGCCACTGTGCTGGACTCCATATTAATTTTTAAAACATGCATTTATTTGAAAGGCAGAAGGCCACAGAGGAAGAGATCTTCCATCCACTGCTCACCCTCACATGCCCACAGCTGAGGCTGGGCTAGGCTGAGGTCGGGGTCAACCTTCACTCCTTCCCAGGTACAAAAGCAGGGAGGAAGTAGAAGCAAACAAGCCAGGACTGGAAGCAATTGTTTTGGCTTCATGACATCACTGGTGTGGAACTTTAATTTTTTTGTAATTCTTACAAGTAAATTACACACACATTTTTTAAGAAAAAGATTTATGGAATACCTAAAATCCTTTTGGAATTAGTTCATTTTGTAGTATAATCCGCTCGGTGTGAAATGTAATGCAGATAAGTAGAATTTTTGTTTTGTTCATCATGATTTTATAATCCTCAGATATACAGTACCGCCAGAGATCAGCTCCAGCTGAGTTTGAAGCTGACGAGAGATGTGTGCAGTTGGTGTTTTTAAGAGTTCAAGAGAGTTTGCACCCAATGGGAGACCCAGAAGAAGCCCCTGCTTCCCAGCTTCGGACTGGCCCAGTGCAGGCCACAGTAGCCTTTTGGGGAGTGAATCAAAGGACAGAAGATCTCTAACTGGTCTCAACTCCACTATGCATCCCGCTCCAACTTCTGACTCTCAAAATTTTTTAAAAAGGCAAAGTAATTAATATAAATAAACCTTCGAAACTTAAGGTTGTAATTGTCTTCCTTTACCATGGAAAGACAACAGTGTGGGAAGTCTGGATACAATGTGCTTCAGCATTTTGTCTCGAGTCCGTAAGTGCCCATCTGGTCTTCCTACAGTCTCCTAGGCTGGGAACATTACCATTCCCACACAGCAGCGGGCCTGGGCTGACTATCTGCCTAAAGCACACAGTGACGGACATTCAGTAACGGGGTCCAAAGCCGCAGACCGCGGTCTGGGACCTGCATGACCTGGGACAACACACAGAACCTCTGGGTCTTGGCCTCCTGATGTGCCACACACATGCTCTCTGTTTTGTTATGTTACTCTATTCTAGTACTTTTTAAATTTAAGCATATTTTAAACATTGTTCATGTAGTTTAGAAAGATGTATGCCCATATAGGTCTCTGATTAGGATGGGGAGGGTCAAGGTACTGAGGAAGTTAGGTGGGGCAAATGTTTCAATTTGTTTTCTCCTGTGTCAGTAGCAAGGCAAGGAGAGGGGACCTCTCTGTGCTATCAAACTACATCAGCACTTGGGGAAACGGGACAGTCACTTGATAAGGCCTCAGACCCCCCATGTGGGGACAAGTGTTCCAAGGGTGTTACTTCAGCAGTTCTGATAGTTCTGAGATATTGTTGACTTAATTGCACCAGGGTTAAGAAAATCTAAGGCTGATCAAATCCACCTTAGTGCATCCACAGACCCAGGAACATGTTGCAAAGTTTGCCCAGGAAAGTGGTTCAACTTGTTCTGCTTTGCATTCTGACAAAGCACGTGACATTCCCTGCTGGTATGGATGAGCTGGTTTTCATGTCCCCATGTACATTTAGGGCATGCTACCCACCACGCAGGCATCAGCAACTAAGGAGACCCAGACCTGACACATGCACTCCAAGGTCAGACCACATACACTGTGATTTTCCCTGTGGCGAGGGTTTGAGTCCAGCCATCTGGGTGGAAGTCCCCCAAGAAATCTCACTTGAGGTGACTTCAGATGTGACTCTTGCGTGCACCACCCATTGCAGGGTCAGGTGTGGTCTGTCACCTGCAGCAGCCAATGCACACACCAGTGGATGCAGCTGCCTGGTCAGTTCTGCCCCCACCCCCTGGTCCCATCTTTCCCATGAACTGGCAGATGCTGTGGCCCAGTGCAGTCCAGCATAGCACAGGCCCGGTCCTCACACATACCAGCAGGAGCCACAAGGCACATGCTTTCACACAGTAGCATTTTCCTCTGTGATCCAGTCCACCCCCACGGATGTGTACTACTGAAACTGCTATCAATAACACACTCTGATGTCTTCTTGTTTGGCTGTAATCTCCTTCATATTTCCTAATACCAGAAATCAACTGCCCGGTTAATGTCAAGCTGTGTCCCAACTTGGGCAACCCTAGACTGTCATCTCAGAAGCACCGCAGCTCAGGCATGCTGGGTTCTAACATGGAGCACAAAGCTCAGTCTTGATCCTGAGTCATCAGTTACTTGAAGACTGACTAACAAGAAGACAGTTTAGATTAAAAGTCTCTAGCAATCCAATAGGTAAGGATTTTTAAGCAGCAAAACTGCAAGCCTGCAAAGTATCTTTCCCATAACTGCAAAATTAAAATGACTCAAGTGTCAAGTGTCTCCACAGCTCATCCACAGACTCCAGCAAACCAAGTCAAAGTCACTTGTAGGAGAGTCTTAGCAGAGCAAACTAAGCAGAGGGAGAAGGTGCCAGGAAGCAACTCTAAATGCTAAGGATTAGCAGCAGTCAAGATTTAGAAAGTAAACTAGAAATAGCTCTCACAAATGTTAAACACAAAAGTTCTTCTAAATGCTACAATATTCAAGACAGATGGCCCAATTTAAGTGTCAGCCAAAAAAAAAAAAAAAAAATCAAGTACATAATTATGCTCGGTGCTGTTAGGGTATTTATTAAATGGATACGTTGAATATAATGTAATAGAAAGGAAATTTTTCCTTCATTCAACGTAAGTGAAAGTATTTTAAAGTTGCATACTGATAGCACTCTTAGACTGCATGTCATGAAAGGCTGTGTGTCGACCTAACCATCGTGAACTTACAGTCTTCAGATCAGAGAAAACTTCCAACTGTCATGTGCCCAGTCATCTTCATAGTTACAAACAGAAAATATGCACATGCCGCAAAAGCTATGGCAGGAAATCCATGGCAACCCTAAATGTGTCGACCGCTCTGTGCCTAATTTTCAGTCTTTGTATCAACACATGAGAAGAGCCTCCCCTATTCACGCCCAGAAAACTATTCTTAACTAGCCCGAGCATGAGCTCTGCCAATACTGGGCTCTCTGGTACCTCAGGCCCCTAGTAGTCAACACATTCCAACCAAATAAAAACCCTCAAAAAAACAAAGTTTGGAATATCACACTCACAATTCTTAATACACTACAGAATTTGGCTGCTTTAAAATCCAATCCGCAAAACAAAAGTACAGTGATGGAAAACTTTAACGTTTAATTAAAACTACCTGTGAAAAGTTTTCCAGAAGAGGAACAATTAAGACAGCTGACTTATAGCTATTTTTCTCAATGTGCAGTACTACAACATACAACATGATGCAAACAACGAACACATTTGGTCTGGAATGCAAAGGATAAAGTGATCTCTGCAGAGCATCAAATTGTTACTCCTGTTGGCATGCAAACATTAACCTGCTGGGAACCCTGGCCAGCTGAGGCTAGCACAATCTCAAACTGAGCAGCCCTTTAAAAGAAAAAGAAACAACAAAACAACATAAGCCCTTAAGAACATACATGAAAATAGAAACTAGAATGACAAAGGGTGTCTTTTCAGGGCTACCTTAGGAAAAACACAGAGCTGGAAAACCGAGACACACTCGTGTCCCATGATTGGCACAGCACTTGTTTCTACACAAGTGAAGGAAATGTTCCCTCCAGTACATCTGGGCAACCAGGAACTATACACTGGTCAGCTGCTTTCCCACACTTCCTGTCTGAAGTTGGCAGGAGCGGGGCTGGGGGTTGGAGGGCGCTAATCTCATCTGGAATTTTGACTCAGAGGTTGTAACTGCAAGAGTTCCTGACACCAATCTCCATGTCGACGCACATTACAAAACCATGACTGTGGAACTGAATCTGTACCTATGTGAAAAGGGCAAGGCATTCTGAGCCGGTTCGGCCCTTGGCTCTGAGTTCTGCGTCACGTCTGGGGTCCGTTCGTCGTCCGTCCCATTGACGCTCTCCGGGGTTAGAGGAGACTGAAGATCCCCACCAGCTGATTCCTTTAAAAAGCAAGGGGGGAGACGAGAAGAGAGTTACATTCCTAGTAAAAATTTAAACTCACTCCTGATGGATGCTCACTTACGAGCCAAATCAACTTAGATTTTAGCTAAGCATTAAGAACTTAAAATTAGAAAAAAAAAATTTATTTGTGGAAATTTTCTAATACACTTTAGAAGCATATCTTCAAGGAGCCGATGAACTTGGAGGTTTATGTAAGCAACTAACCGGACACAATAAAAGACAACCGTAAGAATCACTTCAGAAGATACAGGAGAGCCTGGCACAATAGCGTAATGGTTAAGGTCCTCGCCTTGAATGTGCCAGGGATCCCATATGGGCACCGGTTCTAATCCCGGCTGCTCCACTTCCCATCCAGCTCCCTGCTTGTGGCCTGGGAAAGCAGTCGAGGACAGCCCAAAGCTTTGGGACCCTGCACCCATGTTGGAGACCCGGAAATAAGTTCCTGGTTCCTGGTTTCCGGCTTCGGATCGGCGCAGCACCAGCTGTTGCGCTCACTTGGGGAGTGAATCATAGGATGGAAGATCTTTCTCTCTGTCTCCTCCCCTCTGCATATCTGCCTTTCCAATAAAATAAATAAATCTTTTTTTTAAAAAAAAAAAGAAGATAAAGGAGATGGTACAAAAATGTACAATGACTCTACTTTAGAAGAAAGAGAAGAAAACGGGGAGTATGCAGAAGGAGGAATGGTAAAAGGCAGAATGAAGTCTATGGTAAGTTTACATTTTTAAGATCTGGTGTACTTTTCAATTCCCAACGAGCTCTCCAGAAATCAATGAGAATTATCCCTATAATGTATTTACATTTTATTACTACAGTTTTTGTTTGGTATTAAGGATTAAGAACTTATCATAATGGTATTATTTTTCATCGCAGAATTTCCTATCTTCTACCTTTAAAAAAGATCTGCCAATAGGGCAAACTCAATTTATACCTCTGGAAAAGAAATGAAATTAAACACGAGGCCCAAGCGGATGCCTGGTTTTGTCTGCATCGTCATCCTGGCCACCTTTGACGTTATGAGTCAGAATGAGGAGCACGCTGCTGAAGCAGAGAAGGGGCTGGGGCTATACTGTTAGCCTGGTGGACTCCTAGTAAATTTACAATTGGACTTTCCATCTTGCTGGAGAAGCAGATAAAAATGTGTCAACTTATTTTTTTTTTTTATCAACTTGGAACTTGTCAACTTGAAAGAATTCAAGACTTCAAAGAAGAACCAGTTGAGGAGTGTGAGTTCAGTCTAGCAGTCACATCCCACATTGGAGTGTGGAGCTCCAGTGCTGGCTCTCCTCCTGTCCTGGGAGGCAGCAGGTGACGCGCAAGTTCTGGGGAGTCTACCACTCACGCAGGAGATGTGAAATGTGTTTCCATCGGCAGCTGGGCCAAGCTCCAGCTGCTGTGGGTATTCAGGGAGTTCATCAGCAGATGAGATGCCATGTCTGTGTGTCTCTGCCCCTCTTAGGCAAATAAAAACTTTAAAAACAAAGATGAATATAAGCAAAAGAAGAAAATGTTTAAAAATTAACTCTACACAGCAGTATCCTGATTATGATCATTTGTGTACTCTGTACTAAGAAAGCTATGCCTGAAATATTAGGAAAAATAGAGAAAATGTTAATGTTTTGAGACTTTCCTTTTGGGGACTTCCAGTTTTATACTACTGCCCGTACATTAGTGAAAACATTTCAGTGCAAAATAACAATACCATATACTGAACATTAGATAAACTGTCAAATAGCCAAGAAACATTTTCTTAATTTAACACTATCATTTAAGCATTTTCCAATTATCAGTGAAGCTTCTATTTTGACATTTAATTTGTCTTATCCTTCTCCTGCATCCTTTTAGTGTCTGCTAATTGGCAATCAATGCATGAATAGAGTCTACCACAAAATGAGACAACCTAAAACTGTTAGGCTGAATCCTACTCAGTGCATAATGAGAACAGTCAGCACCAAGCAATGACTTCCAGGTTACTGAGGGGACATTATCAATTAAGTATGAGTTTATTATATTTGTTAATAAGACATCGGATTTATTTTCCCCAAAGACAGACCAAATCAAACGAAAATAATGTAAGTTGACAGCTCAATTTGCTAAACAGCTAGATTAGTCAAGATGTGGTTCAACAGAAATGTTACCAGGAATAAATTACCCCAATAAACTGAAAACACAACCCAGCAGACGAGCACAAGGAAAAGATCAAGATGGAGCAAGCAAGAGGAGGAGCGCTCTGAGTGCTGGCCCTACAGGGTCAACAAGAAAGGATGCAGGACTGGGAACTGAGGCCTGGGGAAGCCACGCTGGGAGCACCAAAGGAAGGGGAGGAAGAAGGGGACTGAGTCACAATGACCCCCACTTCTCCATGGGGGCAATGCAGGGAGAAGCTGAGTAGCATTTACAGTGAACTGAAGGCATGGGGATCTATTTATGCAGGTGATTATATCTCAAACAAAGAGCCTACTCAAAGCATAGTTCTTTAAAAACAGGGTTTAAACATAAAATTGATACTGGCTTAAAGAGAATAAGAAAGAAGTTCCAATAAAAATCTTGAGTTCGGCCTGGCGCAGTGGCCTAGTGGCTAAAGTCCTCGCCTTGCACACACTGGGATCCCATATCGGCACCAGTTCTAATCCCAGCAGTGCCACTTCCCATCCAGCTCCCTGCTTGTGCCCTGGGAAAGCAGTTGAGGACGGCCCAAAGCCTTGAGACCCAGCATCTGCACCGGAGACCCAGAGGAGGCTCCTGGCTCCTGGCTTTGGATCAGGTCAGCTCCAACCGTTGCGGTCACTTGGGCAGTGAATCATCGAATGGAAGATCTTCCTCTCTGTCTCTCCTCTCTGTGTATATCTGACTTTGCAATAAAAATAAGTAATTTTTTTTAAAAAAAAAAAACCTTCAGTACCCTGTAGGTAACCAGAAATATTCTGTAAAACTTTCCAGAAATTTTATATGTGCTAAAAACAGCACTGTGGTATTTAATATATTATAAGCATTTACTTCTTTTTAAAACTGAATTTTGTATCATTTCCTAAATAACCAAATCTACCTTTTCCTTTAAAAAAAATTCGATCACTACCCAAGACTGTGTTGTGGCTCAGCAATTAAAACACCAAGACGCTGGCATCCCATCAGTGCCGTTCTGATCCTAGCTGTTCCACTTCTGAACTAGCTCCCAGCTGATGTGCCTGGGAGGGCGAACGCTTTCCCAAGAGTTAGGACCTGCACCAGGCCCAGCCCCGTGTTGTGGGCACCTGGGGAGTGAATGAGCAGATGGGAGTAGCTCTCCCACCTCTCCAACTCTGCTTTCAAATATACAACTTTTTGTAAAAAAGGAAAAAAGAGATCTTGAGCATAGATGTTATAATTCAGGAAACGCTCCTCTGGAATTCTCTCTTCCTGTGTATTTAGGCAATGGGAGGAAACCTGGCGTTGGAGTGTTCTCGATCGCATGAAAAACAGACTTGGGCCTCAAGGCAGGGTCAGCTTTCAGGTGCCCCGACCTACTCTGGACTCTGTGCAAGGCAGGCAGGGGCTCACAGCAGCACTGCTTCACCCACCACACCAACACCTCACACACTCCCTTCCATTAAATTCCAAAATTCAAACTCTTGGTACAGCTTCGTCCCTTCTGGCCTGCTGTCATCTCACATTCACGGGAACTCCCGTTCATGCCAGTCTTTCTCCTACCGCAGTGCGGATGAGAATTCCACACTTGCCTATGCCGAGGCTCTGAAAAGAACTGGGCAAGGAGCTAAAGATTCTGAGTCCCTGCTGCAGTGGAAATAGCATGAAGTGCAGGGAAGAGCAGGACACATCAAGGGACTAAGGCTGAGGGCAGACAGGCACCCCTGCCCCACTGCCGAGGGCAGGCAGACAGGCACCCCCTGACCCACTGCCGAGGGGCTCCCCCTCTGCCTCTCATTCTCTCTGTAAATCTGACCTGCCTTTCCAATAAAAATAAATAAATCTTTATTTTAAAAAGAAAGAAGAGAGCCCTGGAGTTGCAACTATCAGTGCAGTCTAATTCAGAAATACAACGTGGGATCCGGCACAATAGCCTAGCGGCTAAAGCCCTTGCCTTGTACATGCCAGAATCCCCATATGAGCACTGGTTCTAATTCTGGCAGCCCCTCTTCCCATCCAGCTCCCTGCTTGTGGCCTGGGAATTCAGCTGAGGATGGGCCAAGGCTTTGGAACCCTACACCCTCATGGGAGACCTGGAAGAGGCTCTGGGCTCCTGGCTTCAGATTGGCACAGATCCAGCCTTTGTGGCTGCTGAGGAGTAAATCATCGGATGGAGGATCTTCCTCTCTGTCTCTCTTCTTCTCTGTATATCTGATTTTGCAATAAAAATAAACAAATCTTTAAAAAAAAGATAATGTGGGATTCTAAGCAGATCATACTCAAAGACTACATGTATTCAATATCAATTTTCATTTTAAAAAGAAATTTATTTACTTATTTATTTTCACTTTAGTTGAAAGATGCAGAGGTGGAAAGATCTTCTATCTACTTGCCAAATGCCCGCAACAACCATGTCTGAGCGGGTCTGAAGCCATCAGAGTCTCCCACACGCCTGCTAGGGAACCAAGACTCTGAGCCATCACTTGCTACCCACCAGCAGTTATCAGGACTCTGGGCCAGAAGGATGGAGCCAAGGGCTTAAACCAGGCACTCCGATTTTTGATACAGTCTCCCAGGCTGTTGCCCTAAACTCCCACTTTTAACATAATTTGATATATTTTAGTTTTAGTATAATTTGAAATAATAACTTCCTTTCAAATACTCCTCAGACTAATGTTTTCTATTAGCTGGTCAATTATAGGCTTTTATTCAAACAGATAAGACGTGTGTTGCACAAACTGCTGTCTTACCTGTGTGCCCTGCTGCTCCCCCACAGCATCGATCTCTGGGCCCTTCTAGCACACACTACAGTATCAGACTTACCCCGCTTCCTCTCCCTCCATACTAAGCCCAAAGGATGGCCTCAGCTCAAGAGTCGGAGATTGGAAAAGTGGTTGAAGTACTGTAATGCCAGATCTTTTTGTCACAAGCCTGTGGGGAGGTTTGCTTGATTAAGCGCAGCCCTGGACCATGGGCATCAACATCCCCTGCAAAGCTACTAGAATACAGCCCTCGAGCCCCATCTCGCTCACCATCACAACCCTCAACACATGGTAACATTTCCTGTCTGCTAAGCACTTTCTAACTCTCGCCTAATTCTCCCAATAACCCTCGTGAGGACGTAGTGGTCCAAGTTCCTTTTTAGTAAGAGCTACAGCCAAGGTTCAATACCCAGGTTGTGGAGCCCACATTACTTACCAGGGCCTAACATTCCTAGCCTTGTATCACCAGTAATCCTATAGGTAACGTACTACTTACATAGGCACATGAGTTAGCCAACCAAGAGCCAGAGCAACACAGAGAAAAGGGTTTCTCCGATTCACAAATTCACACCTTTAACAAGTCTGTCACTCTCAAAAAAAAAAAAAGCTACAAATCGACTATTTATTAGTTGTTCCATTTTGCTGAATTTTTCATGTAAGTTCAAAAAATTCAAGATTTTTCATATTATGAAAAAATAGATTTCAAAAACATTATTGCAGAAGGTTAAGCTTGTGATTATAAAATAAACTGAAAGTATGTTATTATGAAAACCAAAAGAAAAGGAAGGAGGAAGAGGGAGGGAGAGGATAGAAGGGTGGGTTGGAAGTATCACCATTTTAAAAACTATATTTATGAAATCTTTCTCCTTTATATAAATAAAAATTGAAAAAAATCACACAAAACTACACCTCTTTAATTTCCAATTTTCCATGCATTTTTCAAATTACCACTGTGATTCATTCTTCAGGCAAAGTGTTGATTCAGCATACTGAATTAAACCAGAGTCCAGCCCTGCTTTCCAGGTGATTAGGATAGTACTGAGCAACTGACACGAAAACAGAAACAGCAGGGACTATCCCAGACATGAGACGCCATCCGCAGGCTACAGTGTTTTAACAAGGTAAATTAAAGCCCATATTATTTTGCCTCTCAGATGCTGAACTTAAGGTATTCTCTTAATGGCCAGCATTGCACTATTGTTTTTAGGGCACATTTGCATTAAATAACATTAGTTTTAATTACGAAATGGAATTTTAAAGCATTCTTACAAGTGTCGGCATTCAAGAATAAATCCTCTCTCAATACAGATAAACCAACAGTTCATTTCTACACTATCATCCCGCCAAACTTACGGTTAGAATAGAAGATGCACCCTGACGTGGACAAGGCTCCTGAGTGTGAAACACCCACCTGTGAAGGCGTGCTGGTGAGTTCCATCTTCTCCTGCGATTTCTCCTTGGCTAGTCGGGCAGCTTCTTTAAATTCCTGAAACTTCTCTGCAAACTGAATGGGTGAAGGCTACATTCATTAACCAGGCACAAACAAGTCACAGAGCCCTCTCACCTTAGTAGCCTCTTACAAGCAAATAAGTCTCCAAGCCCATCACAGTTTGTAACAAGAAAATGGTGGAAACTGAAGTCCAACACCAAACAATGATAAATCACATTCAGAAAACACTGCAATCGAATTAAGTCAGGACTCAGTGTCAGTTACCATACCTACAGGCCTCAAGATCTGGGGGAGGAGTGTAGTCTAGAACCAGCAGAACCAGGCAAAGTAGGCTTTGTGAGAAAACTGAATGTTTAAAGTATCCGCTTGTAACTATCACAGCATTGAGAAATGTTCTTTTAAAAGAACATAAAGTTTCACAAAAGGCATCTTATTTATTGTTTTCTAACAATACAAACAAGTTTCTCACCGATACAATCAAAAATTCATTTCTAAAGATTTCTAAACAAAGAAACAGGAAGGAATATATTATTCTAAGGGGTGCTAAGAGAGGCGACTATTTCAAGGCAAACAGCACTGTACAAGAAAGACACATCTGCAGAAGCCACAGGAACCGTTCACTGCCACCTCCAGTGCTTTCCAAGTGGCAGTCAACCACCACTGCTAATGTTTGAAACTCCAATTTTTCCATGTGACTTAAAACATGTTAGATTTGAAAATGAAGATACAAACATGGAGTCCTCTTCTAAAACCTAGAAACCAATTTAGATTCACTGTCCCCTGCCCCAGAGCGTAAGGTCAAGGTCACAGGGTGCAAGCTGTCCCATCACAGTTTTCCTTCGTCTCTCGAGACCCTGACCCACTCCAGCTGACCTGCAGTTTAGGGAACCGAACAAGAACTCCCATTCAAACCAAACACAAAACCTCCCAACATGAAAAAAATCTCAACGCGAAAATCTCATTCACACTGGTGGAAACAAAATAAAAACAAATATACGGCTTCTATAGCGTGAAGCGGTGCTGAAGGCTTATCTTTACTAATTTAGTATTCCAAAATGATTAATGCTGAAAAACCTTCTCAAGGTCATAAAAAAACCTGTGCTACTACTAATTTTTATATCCTTAATCTTCAGCGAAAGAAAAATGTGAAGACTTAGGTTTCCATAATAGCAAAACACAGGCTGGTTAGCACTCCAACAACTGTGCTGCAGCCAGCTGACCTCAGGAGCCCGCGCGGCTGTGGGGCCGTCCTCCCTCCTGCTGAGGTGCCCTGTCCACCGCTCCCCAACCCTCTCCCAACCTCTGCTGTGTCCTAACTGCTAGTGCTAGTGGTCACAGATTAGTCCAGTGTGCATATCCTTGCTTCATTTATGCAAAATATTATCAACTGCCTTGAGTGCTCTAGTGGTCTGTACAGCACCAGGGTTAGTCTTCAAGGCAGCTTTACAATAAATGCCAACTTTGTCATCTTTGAATCAAAACATTCTGTAGAGACTCAGCTTAACTTCCTGGAGTCACATCCAAGGAACAAACTAGACATGGCTCCAAAATCTTACGGACAGTTCTCTAACACTCAATCCACCCACAAGCCAGAAATTGGTTAAAAGCAGTTTTTAAAAGGCTTGCAAAACAAAAAGCTTATTCCCAGAGAAAAGATCCAACAAGAGCTAGCATGACAGACAGAATTTAATAATCTATTCCTTTATTACATGAACTAACAGTTCAGTTACTTGAAAGACTGTAATGAAGAACTTAATTTACGGTCAAAATTACTTAGGCTTAAAAATCATTTCATGCAAGTTTACTTGAGAAATTAATCTGTAATTTAGTTCACACATTTTACAGTCAGGAAATTCAGTAAGAACAGACTGAGATTTTTAATTTCTTTTTGTTACAGGCTCCAACAGCTAATTCCCAAAGCAAAGTTCTAAAAGCATGCTTAGGTAACGGCAGTAATATTGGAATTAACACGCCATTTCCCAAGGGGGTTGTACGTGCAACAGAAATGCTCAACGGGGGGCCTGTGTCTTTGTCGTCCTCAAATACTTCGACTCTAAAACACATCCTTTTATCACACTTTTAAAAACGTGGGAATAAGATGAGTGTGAGAGAAACCCAATCAGGCAAGACTTGTGTGAATCACCCTACAGAGAATGGTTTGTAATCACTAAAGGACAAAGCAAAGATGTCTTAAAATTGAGCTTTAAACTGTCATGTTTACCCAAAAGGCAGCAAAAATACTAAAAACAAGAGTTAAAAGGTGTTTACACCTAACTCAGAAAAAAATATTATTTCAACTACCAAACTATTTATACTTTCAAGTCAGAACATATTCACAACATAGGTATTTTATTTTTTGTTTATTTACTTTTAGCATAGGCATTAAAAAAAAAACTTGTCTGCATGTATTTGAAAGAGTTCTATCATTTAATGTAAATACAGTGTTTATCTCCTAGAGAAAGATTGCTCTCACAGCTTCAGACCCCAGAGCACCAAATCTCACGCCAAGGGTTCTCCTCAGAAGGAAACGCCCCCAGCAGACACTGCCGCACAGGTCTTTGGGTGTGGCAGCCCAACGTCCAAAGGGCCCAGTGAGGACACCCACATCTCCTCAGCCACCTCAGGAGGTCCCTCCCCAGGTAACACACAGTCACAGACAAGGCATGGTTTGGCTTATAGACAGAACACCTACTTCCGCTTTTTAGGTTGGTAAGCTCTGTGTTTTGTGGGCTTCTCTGGCCACAAGTGGCATTACCCAAGGACCCCTCGTGGCACTTACTGAATCTCACGCTGCACAGCAGCAGAGAGCTTGGAGTACCCTAGCTGTAGAAAAAGCACAAATTTCCCTATACAGTGTCACTTCCATGTGTCAGAAAGCTGAGTCCTGCATCCCTCACACTTGAGAAGGGCATGGTGTCCATCTGGCCTGCAAAGCACGACCAGCAGCAGGTGCTCAGCCCTAAGCTAAACTTTCCTGAAGTGACAATCCCCACCTCTGATGCCCTACCAAAAAGGCAGTTACCCATGCTAATCTTTCTCGGCCCAAAATGACTACTTGTAATGTGCAGAACAGAGAACAGAGTGCCGTGCTCTCGCTCTGCTCCCACGTTGCTGTGGTGGCCTCACCCTGCCCTGTGGCTAACAGTCTGAGATCCAGGTCTTGGGGATGGTCACGCACATCTTGGCGGTTTCACTTACTTTGGAAAGATGGTGCTCTGAGGAGAATCCCAGTCCATAAACAGTGTTTGCCCGACTGTCGGCCCACTGGCCGAACTTCTGAGACGTCTTCGTAAATGTCATGTTTGGGGTGATGGTGCTGTTTATTATTGCCTGAGAAGGAACACACATATGAGGAGCCAGGTCAAAATAAGCTGACAAGATTATAAACACAGGACCACTCAGACAACATCACAACCAGGGATTCTACTAAGACACAGTGTTCGATAGAGAAGTACAGACAGTTTCTAGCATTGCAAGTGACAGTAGAGGGACACGGTTACTGCGCAGAATTTCAACAACTCCCATGATCAAAAAACCATCAGTTCTTACTGGAGTTGATGTCTTCCCTTGAACAACTAGGATCAATGTTTATTTCACAGTTGCTGACCTCAAAGCAGGACCCATCCTCAAACAGGAAAAGTGAACACTGCCTAAAGCCCATTTCAGGAGTTTCCTTAGGGCTGATTCCCATCATTCAGTACTTTGTCCTTCCTCAAGGTCAAACCAACTCCACACACAGTTCCTCAAGGACAGACCAGTCCACACACAGTTCCTCAAGGTCAAACCAACTCCACACACAGTTCCTCAAGGACAGACCAGTCCACACACAGTTCCTCAAGGACAGACCAGTCCATATACAGTTCTTTCATTTTTTCCCACAAAGTGGTTCAGGTTTATGATATTGAGAATCCCTGTCATTTGTGTTTAAGTTTTATTCTTTTCGTATGTTTTAAAATATCACCTTTGTTGAACACCATAGTAACTTTCAATTCTTATTACATTACTTCATTCCTTCCTCTAGTTTCAACAAAGTGCAGAAACATTTTTAATTAGGTAGTCCAATGTCCTCTAAAATTAAAATTAAAACCTGATTTTAATAATAAAAAGATACTTGCTATATCAAATCCGTAAGCAGTCATTTGGTAAACTACTAAAGGTGTAATGAAAATCAAGTATTTTTAGAGCGAAAATTTATTTACCACGTGACAAAGTTAAAAAAAAAGAAGAAGAAGAAGAAGCTGAGCTGTAAGCTACTGACAAAGGTAAGCCAAAGAACTGTGACACTTGCCTGTTAAAAAACAGCAAACAAGAGCCCCTTCCTTTCATAAACAGTAGACACGCTATTACTGGAGTTCTACTCTAGTTTACAGTGTTTTCAACATATAGACTCACATATGTTCATTCAAATTCACATTCATATGTAAATGTACATGTTCATATTTATGTAATTTATATGTATATCAGTTAAAAGCCTCTTTTGAGGTCCGGCGCAGTGGCCTAGCAGCTAAAGTCCTTGCCTTGAATGAGCCGGAATCCCACATGGGCGCCAATTCTAATCCCGGCAGCCCCGCTTCCCATCCAGCTCCCTGCCTGTGACCTGGGAAAGCAGTCCAGGACAGCCCAAAGCCTTGGGACCCTGCACCCGCGTGGGAGACCCAGAAGAGCTACTGGCTTCGGTTCAGCGCAGCTCTGGCTGTTGCGGTCACTTGGGAAGTGATTCAGCAGATGGAAGATCTTCCTCTCCATTTCTCCTCCTCTCTGTATATCTGACTTTGCAATTAATAAATCTTTAAAATAAAAAAATGTCTCTTTTGTGTATCTCATTTCAGACCAGAAAATGTAGGTACTAACTACTCTAACTTGTGGCACTGTCATCAAATGAAAAACTAAAAACAGTAAGGACTCACACTAATCTATTCAGCATCTTCTACTGTTGTTCCAATAAACGCCAAGCACGTGACAGGACAGGCGGCATCTCTGTGCATTACACTCCAGAGCAGCAGGCTGGGTGAAGCCTAAGTAGGTGGACAGGCAGCAGTGACACGTGCCCAGGACAGGAGACAGGCAGCAAAGACTGGCCAGCACTGGTTTAGACCCTGTGTCCTTCAGGGCTCCCCAGGGACCACACATGTGAGGGCCGGGATTTCCAAAGACATGTGTCCCCAGGAACTCTCAGAAAGTGGGTTAGCATCTAAGAAAACTGACCAATTCGCTCTTGGTCACTGGTCCCCTGTTTCAACTGTTACAACATAACTTCTAAGTTTTTCTTTCTTTTTTAAGAGTTTCACTTTTAATATCCATTCTGGACTTTTCCATACCTCTGCATCACTTCTTTTTTAGTCCCTGAGGAACTTTAAAACGATAAATGACATAACACCTTAAAAAGCCCATTTCTCTTTTCTTTTTTTTTTTTTAAGATTTATTACGGCCCAAATGGCTTCAATAGCTGGAGTTGTGCTGATATTTAGAGAACACGGGAAAGAGAAGATATGCTGCAGAAGGCCTCTCTACTCCTGAATAAAAGAAAGACTCCCAATTAAACAGTTAAATGTTTCTTGACAATATGATACTAGATTTTCTACCTTTGTCTATACCCACAATGCCATGACGCACTGAAGTAGCAGAATTCTAAACTTGCAATTTACTAAAGACTATACTACTGTAATAGTATGAGGGGAAATGGTGGGGAGGGGAATCCCAACACCTACAATACTACATCATAAGAAAACAAAAATAACAATTTAAAAATTTTAAAAACTTCATAACTCCCCAAATGGTTGGAGCTGAGCCAATAAGAAGCCAGGAGCTTCTTCTCCTGTGTGGGTGCAGGGACCCAAGGACTTGGGCCATCTGCTGTGACTTTCCCATGCCATTAGCAGGGAGTTAGATGTGAAGTTGAGCAGCAATGAGACGCCAATGCCTCGGGCTTACTTTTCTAAAAGAGACTGGTGTTTACAGAGCCCGTCCTTGTGGACAGTGGTGGTTTTAACGCCCCACCTCCACTTGTGCTCTTTGTCAGTGCCCCAGGGTTCATCTCTTCTCACACAGTGCATGTGCTGTGCATGTGAGGTTTGACTTCATGTGTTCTGGTCACACCTCAGGGACATCACGTGGCTGCAGGCCAGGACGGGGCACTACATCACTGTCATGACACAGCGTTTATGCTTCCTTTCCTTGGGACAACAAGGATGCTAGTGTTGACAGACATTTATTTTGATGAAATAAACTGAAGAAGTAACATGTCTTTTTTTTTTTTTAAGATTTATTTGAAAGGGAGAGACAGAGCCTTCTGTTTACTACCCAGTGGGGCTGGGCCAGATGGAAGCCAGGAGCCAGGAGTTTGATCCAGGGCTCCTGCATCGCTGGTGATGGCCCCAATAATTGGGTCATCTTCAATATTCAGCGGATGGTGGACCTGAGCAGGGGGGACCGAGCAGCCCTTGCTCCCACCACTGCAAACACAGGCATTACCCATACGCTCCCCTCAGAGCAGGATGTCGTGCCACTGACACGTGTGCAGGCCTATGACTGCAGGATTCTGAGCTACAAATCTCCAGAAAGAGCGGTGAAGAATTCTAGCTCCTGGGCCCAGCACAATAGAGTAACGGGAAAAGTCCTCGCCTTGAATGCACTGGAATCCCATATGGGTGCTGGTTCTAATCCCGGCAGCTCCACTTCCCATGCAGCTCCCTGCCTGTGTCCTGGGAATGCACTCAAGGACAGCCCAACGCTTTCGGACCCTGCACCAACGTGGGAGACCCAGAGGGAAGCTCCTGGCTTCGGATTGGCTCAGCTCCAGTTATTGCAGCCGCTTGGGGAGTGAATCATCGAACAGAAGATCTTCCTGTCTCTCCTCCTCTCTGTATATCCACCTTTCTAATAAAAACAAATAAATATTAAAAAAAAAAATTCTAGCTCCTGAACTCCAGACCACATGAGCTGTTTCACTATATTGTCAGCACCAAGCACAGTGTTTAGCACGTAACAGACCAACAACAGACGCTTATTAAATCAACGAAATGACCCCACATTTGTGGAATTACTTCAGTATGTTACCCAACCTGACAAGGTGTCTAAGTACTTCAGAGAACAAAAAGTGTTCCTATCCTGGTAATGATCTATTTGGTTTCATTGAAGGCCTACAATATAAAAGAAAGCATTTCCTTTTAATAAGCACTAATTCCCCCGAACAAAACTGGATGTCTGCACCGGATGAGACAGCCAGACTGTTGAATGAGGTGACCCTAACTGACCTTGGAGCCGTCCAGACTGATGATCCTGTACACATTCCTTGTGCTGTCGTAGAAGTAAGACACGGTAACTGCGTGCTTGCTGGTGGGGACCCAGTTCTTCTTTGTGTTTGGGTCAATCTGGAAGACGTGAGCTCGAGTGCTGAAGATAGGTTGTTCCCTGTGGGACAAAAAAAAAAAGATGACAACATGACAGCAGGTGGTTCCACTGCACCAGACCGGGCAATGTGAAAGCTCTGAGGATGACTCTGCTTAAGCAGCAACTCCCACACACCAGGAAGAAGCACCTCTTGCAAACTGGTTAATTCTGAATATCTGCCCTTTCCCAGCTGAGCCTCCTCCTTCACAGATGCTGTGCAACAAATCTACCTACTCCTAATCCGCTTGTGGACACGTTCTCAGCCGTTCTAACAGGCTCATGGTGCCGGGCACGCCACAGACACGGGTTTCTAAACTGAGACAGGATGGCATGCTGCCTTCTGGTTTCCAGCTTTCTTACTATCAATAATTACCTTCTCAGGATCTACTCAGCACCATGTTTTTTCCCACTTTTGTACTTCCTGGTGTTGCTCTGCTTGGTTACAAGGGCATGTAAGCACAGCCCTGGGTATGCTCTGTGTGTCTGGGAGACAGTGTGCTGCATCAGCTCACTCTGGCATCAACAACACATATTAAATGATGTGCATTCATAAACTGAAACACACATGAAAAACAGGGGTTACCACTGGCTGAGCAGAACGGTGTACCCAGGAGCTTGCAGAGACAGGACACTGAACTCTGGCCAGGTGCAAAGACTCACTGTTAGCTCATTCAGGATTCTGGCACCTTCGAGAAGGTGAGAGGATCCTGAGAGCTGACCACACCCCACTGAAGCACACCCATTTTGTGTTACTCATTCAAAATTGTATTATTCTGGTAACAGGTAAACAACTCACTAGGAAAGCTTATATTCAACATAATCTCTACCACACTGAAAGATGTATGAAAAACAAAACCACTCAAATATCTTTTACTTAGCTGAAGGCGGGCCTTAGATTTACAAAGAAACAGAACCTTTCAATTACATATACATATATCTTATTTTAAAAAAATATTTTCAATTTTACTGGAAAGTCAGAGTTACAGAGAAGGAGACAGAGACCCTCCATCACTAGCTTGCTCTACAAGCAGCTGCAACGGCCCGAGCTGGGCCTGTCTAACGCCAGCAAGTTTGGAGTCTCCCACATGTGTGCAGGGATCCAAAGCCTTGGCCATCCACCATTACTTTCTCAACACAATCAAGGAACTGGACCAGAAGTGGAGCAGCCAAGACATGAACTAATGCCTACAGGGGATGCTGGCCATGCAGGAGGATAAGTAGCACACTAAGCCACCATTCCAGACCCAAACACATAGATTTTAAATGACTGTTAAGAGAAATTTATCAGGCCCATCGCAATAGCCTAGTGGCTAAAGTCCTTGCCTTGCACGTGCCAGGATCCCACATGGCCACCAGTTCTAATGCCAGCAGCACTTCTTCCCATCCAACTCCCTGCTTGTGACCTGGGAAATCAGTTGAGGACGGCCCAAAGCCTTGGGACCCTGCACCCATGAGGCACACCTGGAAGAAACTCCTGGCTCCTGGCTTTGGATTGGCTCAGCTCTGGCCATTGCAGTAACTTGGGAAGTGAATCAGCCAAGCAACAACTTCTCTGTGTCTCCTCCTTTCTGTATATCTGACTTTCCAATAAAAATAAAATCTAAAATAAAAAAAAAAAGTTGTTTCTCAATTTGAGCAATGAGATGTTCTCTATTTAAAAGTGGTATAAAACCCTGAAAAGGACCACTTACCGAGCCTTTACCCCCTCCAAAAAACTTGACAAAATAAAGCTCATCTCTTTTTACCACTACCTTTGAAAATCAGTTCAAGTTCTACAGAGAATTACAACTGTTAATATTTTATGTTTAAAATTAAATACATTTTAAATTTCACTTTATGGAGTTCTTAGTTTTATTATTATTTTTTTTCTAACTCAAAAGAAAGCAAAGCAGAATATGCAAAGGAGAAACCAGAGAATCGGTTTCTCTTGGACAACAGTGATCCATTACGTGTCGCTCCTTAACAAGTGAAGTAGACACAGGACTTCTTGCTGAACAGTCATTGCAAATGGGTGGGTTTAATAAATCGTTATTGACAAGTTGGCCAGACACTCTGCCAGGATAAAGGATTCTATGTCGGGATCCGGCCTTACTCTCATGAGGCCAGTGCTATAGAAATCTTCCAGAAGTTCTGCAACCCCTATTTTGTGGCTCATCCAACAGTGACTAACTTCAGTTCATAGAAAACTAGTTACAAACAGCTCTTAGTAATAGGACACACAGGAACAGGGGTGAAACCATCAACAAACCGGATAGATTTTTCTGTATTCACTTCATGGAAGGTAATCTCTAAACAAAGCAGGCTGGCGAATATAGAAATATATTTTAATAAGCATATTTTCTAAAAACTAAAATAGTTACTAAGATAATATTGTGTTGCAAGCTTCTTATGATCAATTAACAAATTCTTACTGCAATGTTTTGAATCCATAAAAAATTTTCACATGGCATTAATCCACACAATTTCATTTATCCACTCAATTTAATCCTTTTCAGCATAAAAATCTCAGTCTATTTATAGTTTGTTTGTAAGAGAGCTTACTACTTGTCTTAAAAATAGGTGATGACTGGAGCTGGTGATGCAGGAGAGCAAGTTGAGCCACAGCGTGTGACAGCAGCATCTCTCCTCAGAGCACTAGCCCACGGTCCAGAGGCTCTGCCTCCCACGCACTCCCCACTAACGTGCCTCCAACAGCAGCAGATTATGTGGGCCCTCGCCAGCCTCATGGGAGACATGGGTGGAATTCTGGGCTCCAGTCTTTGACTTGGCCCAACCCCAGCTGTTGTGGCCACTTATGGAGTGAACCAGTGTATGGAAGATTCCTCTGTCTCTCCCTCTAAGTCTGCATTTCAAATAAAACAAATAAATCTTTTAAAAATAAGAGAGCCATTAGGGAAACACTTTCGTGACTAACAAAGGGGACAGAACTTTCAGAAGTACACAGACACGAAGCATCTGATAGGACACGCTCACAAACAAATCAAACTTGTGCCAAGTAACTGTTTCATGCCAAGGACTGGCTAAAGATGGTTCGAGTCATTGAGGGAAGAATGACATGGTAAGAATAAAATGCTCTCACCTTGACAGATTCTCTGAGAAACTGATGCATAAGCAGAATCCAAACAAATGATGACTTGGTGGAAAGAGGACCTAACTCCACGCTGAGAACTAGTGAGTATCTAAAGCATGACGAGGGGAGAAGCCGCTGCACAGGGTCTACACTGCAAGCCGCTTAGGGACTGTGAACAGGAAGCAATTTTTCATCTTAAATTAATCTGGCAGCTCTGAAGGTCTGGATGGAGGGAAGAAGCAGACTAAGGGGGATGAGCCTTAGTAAAGAATCTAGGCTTTAAAAAGTAAAGAGAATGGGAGGTTAGGGAGAAGGGTGGGCACATGAGAAGGAATTATAGGTGAGTGTAGACAGCACCATCAGTAAATAACAGACTGACTGTATTTCCTGAAAGAACAGCTCCCAGTGACTGCAGATATCTGTGCTGTCACAATGGAGGCAGTGTGCTAAACATCTGCAGTGTACACAGCAGCTCTCCACAACACCCCAGCCCCAGTATCAGTAGTGTTAGGCTGGAAACCCCAGGATCAGAGATGTGGAAGGAATCTAAGACTCCCTGGCTTCCAGGTGGGTGTCTGAAAAGAAGACGGCGCTATTAACCAGGATGAGAAACTAAGTTCCAATCAGGGGAAAGGAAGGTAAGCAAATGAGCTCGGTGCTGACCGGGTCCACATGCTTCCAGGGTTTGCATTTGGGACTACTGGGTCAAGAATCTAGAAACACCAGCTTGGAGCTCAGAGAAGACAAGGCTACACTAAAAAGTCTGAGGACTTACCAGGAAAGAGGTCTTATGATGGTCTAGGAGAACTTTAACACTAAGCACATCTGTAAAATTCATTTTAGAAAAACAGCTGTAGAAGAGGTGGCAGAGAACCTATATCTGACATCTTAGAGTACTTATCCTCTTAAAAAAGACCTAATGACTCGGGGTTAAACCAAGAGATAAAAATCACTCCTTCTTTCTGTAAGCATGCCTTTCAAATCAGAATAAATATCACTATTATTTTATTTTTAATGTTGCTTATATAGTTGAGAGGGATGCATGCCCATGTGTGTCTCTGATCAGGGTGGGGAGGGTAGAGATATGGAAGAAGGTGGGTGGGACAAATGTTTCAAAAAATAAATTTTTTTTTAAAGTTACTACTTTTAACTCTATAGGAAAGACAAAAGGTCATTAAAACAAACTGATGCAAAATAAAAACAAACTTATTTCCACAAGATAAATGAGCACTAAATATAGGAAAAACTAAGTCTGTATTTGTCTTCTGGATACCTTTAACACATTAATAATATTGTTTAGGATGACTAATATTCAAGTGTATTGTTCTACAAATACTTTATTTATTACTCAATGAATCCTTTTTCCAACACAGTGCAAAGGTGTGTATCCAGTAAACAAAACCAAATCCAAGGGCAAGAGCAGAAATTCAATGGTTTACCATGAAACACCTAGCTAACATGTGAGTTCAAATGAGCAGGACAAATAGGTAATGGTATGTATCCTTTATACAAAAAGGAACATGATTTCAAGTGATTCCTTTCCTTTCTACTTGATTTTAAAATAAATGAGTAAGAAAAGTAGCCTTGCAGAAGTGTTGGAGACAGGTCCATTTCCATGTTCCATGGAGGGTGTGGCATGGCCATGAACCACCATCACGGTCACGCATGCTTCCTTGCCCCTCCCTAACACCCAATGTCCTCCTCGGGCTGCTGGTCTGAGCTTCCACTCCTGCCAGGAGCTGACTTAGGGACAGACTTCTGAAGCAATTCATTTAATGAGATAACTAGCAGAAGCTTGCTGGAAGCCACTGGGCACGCAACAATGAGATAATCAAAAACTATAAAGACCTGTTCTCTTAAGTAACGTGTGTACAATAATCGTCTTACGTGAGAGGAGCATACTTGAGAACAAAGCCGGTATTATTTGTTCATCAACAGATGGAAAAACAAA